CTTGAGGCAGGGAGTTCCATATACAGGACACTACAGCTGAGAAAATCCTCTTGTGCATTGCCACCAGCCATGTCTCCAAAGCCATTAGCACATGCAAGAGGAGCATTAGAGCACCATAGGCAGATTCACAGGTTTACTCAGAAGTAAGCCCTACTATGTTCAGTAGGACCTGCTCCCTTCACTCTGTGCAAGTGACTGCAGCTTTAATTAAGCAGTCTGCTTAATCGATTTGTGTGGTTGAAAACTACACCTCCACCCAGCAAATTAATCTAGTAGGTCTCTCTATAGCATGTAATTCAAGACTTACAAGTGGCAGGCATTCTCTTTAACAGAACCATTTGTTTCTCTCTGTCACAGAAAGGGAAATGACTCTTATGAGGTAGGTCAGCTGTAGGGGGTGTGCTTGAAGATTTCTGCACATTCCCCAATAGCTGTGGACTTCCCTTTGTATCTGGTGGCTGTAGAGGGCAGGACAGGCCCTGCCATGGGGCATGGTGAGGTTGCCACCTCAGGCAGCAAAATGTTGGCTGGTGGACATGATTGGGAGGTGCTGGAAGACAAAACCGGATGTGTGACACCCAGCCTGCTCCATGCCCCTGGAACTAGCCCTGAGGTGCAGTGGAGGATACATGAAAATCAAAGGGGAGGACAGCATCTTCTCCCTCACCTCAAGCAGCAAAAGGACTTGGACACAGGACTGGGAAACAGCATGCTTGATCATATGGATCAGATGCAGCAGGACCCTGGCTGGCCAGTAACGGGCATTAATTGCCACTCACACTGGTTCAGCTTTTTAACACCCTCACCAATGTTTCTACTTTGCTTGCATTTGCAGTGACCTGTCAAAAACAGCTGGCAAGCCATGAGCTCTGAGCTGACACAAGAAAGCCCTGCTATTGGGCAGTATAAAAATGAAACAAATAAACATGGGGGAAGTCCTCATGGTTACCAAGCGCTGAGTAAGCCCACTCTTGAGGAATAAAAGAAGGGAAGACTATTGTGGCCCTTCACTGGCCTCTAGTGGCAAGAATTGGCTATTACAGCTGTAAAAAGGGGAATGCCAAGCGTGAGCTACCATGTGGATCAAAGAGTGATACACATCACCACATAGAAGTATACAATAGATAAATGGAGGAGCAACTGATGGGTTACACAAAGCAGTGGTTATTGAAGTGTATCACGGAGCTCTCATTAAGAGAAGAATTGTAATGTCTCCATTTTCTCTCAGATTAATACTCCATTAGGGGAAGAGCAAGTGCAACATTCTTAGAATAGTCAGGTGTGGATCCATTTTTACACCTTGTGCTACAGATATACATACCAAACACTGGACTAACAAATTGCTTCCTATGGCAAGGAGGTATGCTAGGCCTCAGTTATATGTTTCCCCTCATGTTCCATTTTTGGGGGCAGCAAGAAAGGAAGATATACACCTAAGTATGCATATCTATGTTTGCACTGCATTTCCCTATTTTTTTTAAACTACTGCAAAACGTCCTGGGGGACTGCTGTGTGTTGTTGATAATACTACAGATATCAGGCAATAAATGCCCATCACAGCCCACTTTTGCCTTTTTCAAACTAAAATACAAACTGAGGACAGTGGAGGGAGGATTTCCCAAATGTTACTTCTTGAGCTCACTCTGGGACAGAAAAATGTACCTGATGGACAGTAGCAATTCCATCAGTCTGCCTCTACTTCTCTTAAAGAATCTGCTTTAATTCTGTTTTAACTGAGATTTACAGGAAGGTGGGAACTGGAGAGAGGATTACTTTTGGGAAAAAGGGGAGTGCAAATGCTTATGTTGGGGCTGTTTGTAGGATGGTTATATCTCCTACTTTATGGAGAGCAGTCTTATATTTGACAGGCTGCCAAGTGAGGTATAAAGAACCCTAAGAATGCCAAACAGCAAAGGCCTTGGAGTGGAGCCTCCACGAACAGCATTTCAGAAGGGGACTTAACAGTCACATGGGTCACTTGGTCATCTTTCTCTTATGGTGAGCGATAGCGGTTCTATTCCATTTGTAACATGTTCTGCATATCTATACGTATCATTTAGTGGATCCTCTGCTTTTGGTGATGTTTGTGGCTATGTTACCGAAGTAGGGCATGTAACACTCCTATGGTATCATCTGGACATTTTAGGTGTGGGAGCTGGTGTGAACGTGGGACTCAATTTCCATTGCTGCTCTTAAGCAATGGGCCCCCGTTGTCTGCATGGCTGCAAAGGTTCAGAAAGCACAGCACCCATGTCATTAAGTACACATGGTGCTGCTGTGTATGGGGTTGAGTCATTGATCCCATGCAAGATAACTCTGTCAATGGCGACTGGCTGTGTGCAATCTGCAGGTGGTAGCAAGCCATCTCCAAGTACCAGTTGCTGAAGAATAGCAGAAAGAGGGTCACTGCTTTCATGTCCTGCTTGTGCCTCCCCAAGAGTCACCTGGTTATCCACCGCAGGAAATAGGATGCTGGACTACGAGGGTAAGGCTTTGGTAGGATCCAGCTGCTTGTCACGTTGTTATGGATCCCAAGGGGTGAGACATCATACATATCAACCCTCCCCAATCTGAGACCTCCCAATTGTTTTGGCCTACAGCTGCTATCAGTCCTGGTCAACATGGCCAGTAGTCAGGGATTATGGGAGCTGTAGTCCCAAAACATCTTGGAGCTACCAGGTAGGGACTAGCATGAGCTGTATTCCAGTGTAGCCCCGGCTGTGACCTTTTCACAATGAAGAAAGACGAACACTTGTTTTGCTGTTAAGCAAGTATTTATTGTATTTATTTTTTAACATATTTATTGCACTTCAATATTAGACAAAAAAATAAACTCTCTCTCTTTCTCTCTCTTCCTTGTCAGCATCTTTTTTGAGTCTCTTGGACTCCCAGCAGCAGCAAATAAAACCCTCTCTATTGTCCCTTTGCAGCAAATATAGTCCGGTTTAGGGAGGGATATTTTTTTTTAGTAACATACATTTTTTCCTCTAGATTTTTAAGAAAAGTGCAATGTTTGGTTTTGTTTAAAAGCAGTGTTGAACAACAGCAGCAGTGTCCCTCCCACCCTGCAAAGAACACAAATATTCCCCACATCATGCACACAGGAGGGTGATCAAAACGTGCTATGAAAGCTCCTGTAAACGGGATGGAAAAATCTGATATGTATCAATGCAGAGAACAGGGCAGAGCCAACCACAGCCAAGCTGGGACACTGGGGGATCCTACTGGGGGAGAGAGGGAGCCCAGGGCCCCTCTTCTGGTCACCACCCTTACAATTTCTGCAAATGACCCCTCAATTGTTTCCTTCTTTTACATCTAAGTACCACCTGATGTGTGCATCAGCTGAGAAAAACATATCCTTGCATCTCTGGATCTACATCAAGGTTGTGTGTAATCCAGGTCTAAGTCCATCATGCTCCAAGTGTAGAATTGAGTATCTGGTAAATTATTCAGCAGCCTGAAAATCTCAGCTTTCATTTTGTTTTTTATATGTAAAATGAAGTTTCTAACTCCTATGACTGAAGAGAAACTCTTGGACTTTGTTTAGTGGGATTCCAAGCCCATGTGATAATAGCATAGCCAATTCTTCAGTTTGTGCCACAATCACATGTAAGGCTGGGAATGGAGGTGCCATTTAAAGCGCCCAAGTGGCATACAGGAGGGGGTGCTGAACCCACTTCATGCATGGCATTTCCATAGCTCCTGCTCCCAGGGACCTTCTTCTCAGTTGACATAGGAACCTGGATTGCAGGTGGGGGTGAGGAACTGTGGCAGTAAAAGCAGTGAGGGAGGGACATGATGAGTCTCTTTGTCATCATGTGTTCAATGCCAAATCCTGTACCTCCCCACGCATCCGCAATTCATGACTAGTGGAAGCAGAATAAATTGTGCAGAATAAGCAAATATATGACATTTGTTAATTTGCATGATTTATTCAGGTCTTAGATTTAGGCATTTCTTGGCACAGAATCCGGCTGCTTTTTAAAAAATATAGTTTACTATAAAGTGCAGAGTATATGCAGCCCCAAATATAGTGAAGGGAGAACCAGCCTTTCCTGGTTCCATTTTGTCCCCTCCTGGGGAAGGCAGTCTACTGATTGTTAGGGGAGAATGATTAGCCAAGCAACTGGGCTTATCTTTGCAAATCTGGAACAGAGATGGGGTTGAATGTAGCAAAGGCATCTTGGGGGAAGGGAACACTTGCAGCTTCCCTGTTGGGGGTGGGGGGGGGGCACCATTGCCTAGAAGGAACTGGCCAGGTTGGGCAGCATGATATTAGGAGTGCTGGCTTTGATTAGCCCTTTCTTCCTAGTAGCTGAACAAACCTTTGCTTGTTTCACAAAACCTTACATGGCATGGAAGGAGCCCTGGATAAGCCAGGCTATCTTTTATACTCCCACCTTGAACCCCTACTCATACTTTTTCTGCTTGCCCTTCGGAAAAACTCCCCCCAGAAGCCAACACAGCATCTCCACCACTTTCCTCCACTTATGGCCTTGCTAGTAAGTTGTGACCATTTTGGAGTGCTGAGTGCAACTGTACCTACAAACTGGTGGAAGCCCCTTTGCGTGTGTGTTTTGTTAGCAACATTTACAAAATATATACTCTATAGATATAGACACCCACATCAGACAAGATGAAAAAGGATTGTGGCCCTGCACTTGCTCAGTGCAGGGACGAGGTGGAGGTGGAAAACTGGCCCAGCTTAAGCAGTTCTACTTGACATCTGAAGATAACAGCTACCCCAGAAAAATCTGAAGTCTACCTTGAACATCTTAAGACAACGTAGCGTCTAGCCCACATGCACTATCCCCTTTTCGGGAGACAGCAGCAAGGGAACAGAGGCGAAAAACAGAAAAGCCTGAGATGTGGGGATAACGGTAGCATGCAGATTAAGGAAGGAAGTGAAGACGGCAATCATCACCTTTATCAGGACTGTGGCCTGGATCTTCCTGTCCTTGGGAGCTACCAACAATAATTACTATATACAATTTGCCCAGTGTATTTATATACAGTACAGAACCTCAAGACAATATCATATGGAAAGATATATACATACATATTTACACATTTAGAAATGACACGGTACAAGGTGTGTCCAGTTCATTTGCCTGATCTGCTCTAGCAAATAAATGATCTTCAATTCGCACAGCGCCATGAAGAGCGCTACCTGGGAAACGTATCCTTTCCTCCTGTATCTGATCTCCTCACGGGGGAGGGATCTGCTCCAGCAGATCCCAGCTGCGATGGGCCATGTGCTCCCTGCCCTTGCCGCATCCCTCCTGCCCCTCTTCTTTCATCAACGCCATCTTCTTCCAAAGAGCAAAGTCTAGTCCTGATGCATTAAGTTTGCTTGATGGTTGATTCTCGATTCTTCTTCTCCAAACGTAGGGTTTAAGAAGCTGATCCAGTGGACTTAAGGGTTGATCCGGAAAGCAAGGAGTTTCTCTGAATGCTGGTTGTTGAGGGTTCTCAAGTCAGGGAGACGGAGGAGCAGCTTGGGGAAAAGTGTGGAATCATCTGGGTGCTTCTTAGTCACCAGAGTCCGCAAGGCCCGAATCAATGTCTCCTGAAGGATTTCAACTGCATCCACATCAGAGATGCCAGAGCGATCTGAAGGCCAAAGCAAAATCATTACAGCAGACAATACAGGGAAGACATGGAGAATGGAAGGGCTTGCTGCTGGGTTTTCCACAGACAAAATACAGGAGGGAAGGGAACCTAAAGTAGCTGCAATATTTACTTGGCTGGCAGGATCAAGCTAAATTGTGAAAGACACCCTCACATCGTCATGCAGATTTAAAAGACAATTAGACATTTCAAAAATGCAAGTTCTGTCCCAAGGTAATTTTTACTACAAGACATAATTATTCTATTTCATCTGCACACAGGGAGAAGCTGTACAGGAAACGCCCATCCCTGACCAATCAACATCATGCTTTGCTACTGGAATTCCACAAGGCATTGTTGAGTTCCCCCCCCCCCCCGAGGCTAAAAATGTTTGCTAAAAGAGGAGATTCTAAGAAAGCTAAATTTTATGATCAATATGGCAATCACAATGGGACTACAACCCCACCCAATGGTGGATGGGGATGCCATACAGGCTGGAACCTGCTTGGAAGCCCTGCTTCCTAATCTCAGATGTGTGGAATTCAGCTGGGGTCACTGAGTGTTGAGGAAAATGCCCTCTGCACTTGTTCAGAGACACAACATCATTCAGTTATTCCCCCATCAGATAGTCATGATGAAAATGTAATAAAAAAGGTGAAAACATGAAATACCTATTAAGTTGGATTAATTGAATAAAAAATAAATGCATACCATGATTAGGGTTTAGTCACATTTCAAGCAGTGGGATTTATTAGTCAAGAGCCACTGAACTCAATGCAGCTCGCTGCTCTTCAGAGTGACTAAACCTGGATCTGACCCTACATAAATTGCAACTGCTATAAAAACTGAGATCCACAAATCAGGCTCTTTGTAATTACAGCACATGTTTCAGATCTGACCCTAGGCTGCAGGCTAGGTCCTGCAGGGTTCAACTTCATTTCCTCCCTTGCCCTGGCTTCACTTGCCAGTGGAGACTCCCTGATTCCATTCTGGACAGGGCTGGCTGCTGCTGCTCTTAAGTGCTCTGAGACAGGAGGGAGTTCTCCAGGATTCTCCCCATCATTAAGACTGCGGGGATAAGGAAAGCTTTAACAAAAGGCACAAAAGCGGCTGCCTGCAAAAGGATGTGTCAAGCCACCCCAGCAAATTCAAAAGAGCCTTCATGTTAGGTGCCAGCACCCACCTGCTGAGACAAGGACCACGGCCATGAACAGTGCCATTTCCTGTGCATCCAGGCCCAGGGAGCTAAGTTTCTCGCTGAACTCAAACATGGCATCCAGCAGGGAGCCCATGCCCATGGTGCGCAGGCTGCAGAGTGAGTATGACTCCCCGCTCAGGAAGGTCACCACTTTCTCCTTAGGGCTGAACAGGGAAGAGAAGCGCACCATCAGCACCTGGGGAGGGAAAGCAGAGGGGAAAGTTAAGACAGTGCCAGCTGAAGCAAAACAAAAACAAAAATCAAACAAACACTTGGAAAATACCCCAGTGAATGAAGGAAGGTTCTCCATTGTTAACTCATGCATTCTAAATCCAGACTTTGAAGCTGCCTTCCAAAAAGTCCTCTTATCAGAAGATGGAAGATGCTGGAGAACTATTTGTTTTAAGGGAGCACAGATGTGAGGAGTAGAGGCTCTGACCATCTTCACCATCCTTTGTATGGAGAACACTTGAGATTCTTTTACATTTAGAGAGCAATACTGCCAATGTTAGTATGCCATGAAAAGTGCCCATAGTTCATAGGACACAGAAGTGTGGCAGGTTCGCATTTTTCTGTTTTTTTCTGGGTTTTAGAAGAAATATTTCATTACACTTTTCCCTGCTATACACCTGTTGAAGGCACAAGAGCACTATTTGAACCTGGACTCTTTTTAAACCTTCTGTCTGGGAGTAGGGAAGGAGGGTGCAGCTAAGCTATGATGGTTCCTATGTCCTAAACGGAGGGCAAGAATGCTTCTCATACCATGCCAGAAACTCTGCCAAGGTCACTTTCATTAAAATTTAATGCAAATTTTCATTCCAAGTAAGAAGCAGGTTTCTAGCCCTTATGCCTATGGAAGAAAGCATATCCCTTAAGCACTCTTTTGTTCTCTCCGTCTTTCATCTGTTATCCTAATTCTTCCCCAAATTGAAAATCTTTAGAGGAAAAGCCCTCAATAAATAATAATAATTGTGATCTGAGATAGTTATGATATATAATTTAGCTCAGTTTGCATAAGTCATCCTTTGGACAAAATTTGGGTTGCCTAAGGGAAGTCTGTACTGGCTTGTATCTGTGAAAAAACAAGTATAGCAAGAGTAACTGAAAGCCAGTGTGATGTAGCGGTTAGAGTGCCAGTCTGGGACTCAGGAAATCTGGGTTCTAATCTCTGCTCTGCCATGAAACCCACTGGCTGTCTTTGGATAAGTCACTGACTCTCAGCCTAACCTACCTCACAGGGTTGTTGTGAGGATAAAACAGAGATCAGAAGGATCACGTTAGCTGCACTGGGCTCCTTGGGAAGATAAAAGATGGGATATGAATGTAAAAATGAGCATACTGACCTGGAAAGTGCCTGCTTTCAGCAGCATCACTTGATCCTGCTGGCAGAGTGACTGGAAGCCCGGGATGCTCTTGGCAAACTCCACCACCTCCTTGACAGCTGGTGTGAAGCACTGTGAAAATTCCTCCCACACTTGCTGGCTGCTCTTGCCGTTGCTACAGTAGGGGGTGGCATTCAGAGGACAGGCCTGCAGGCAGACAAGGAGGCATTAACAGGGCAGGTACACTTGGTCAAGCCAGAGCCCCTCACCAAAGAGCTGTGCTAACCAATGAACGATGCTATTGATTATTTTATTTCGAAAGTCCTCTCCCCACCTCCTGAGAGCCTTCCCTAGGAGGGGTGCTATCCAGATGGGCTGGGCTGCAACTTGTCATTTCCAGCCAGACAGACCAATGGTTTACATAATCAAAACACACAGTAAAGTCAGTTCAAATCAAGGCTGCATCTAACTATAAGATTTAATTTGTTGGGGAAGCAAAAAGACTACATGACCAGGCCATCTTTTACAAACACAAACCTGCATCTCTGAAACTGCCTTATCTTCCAGTTGGGTTTCTTTCAGCAACGTAGCCCCAATGGGAGAAAACAACTTTTTAAAAAGTGTTTTGGGGTTAGAGAATGTGAACAGAATCCCCTTGCTCACCCTGCTTTGTCACTTGAAATTCCCTTCCTGCCCTGTCATGTATATCAATTCAGTGGCAGACTCCATTGCGAGCGTAGATCTGCTTCTATCCCACCAAGTTTTAAACAGGCATTCAGGAATGCAGCACAAATCAGTTAAAACAATACGAAAGGTTATTTAAAATGATTTCTTTTAAAATGTTACTCTGGCCAAACTTTGTCATAAAACAAAACAGAAACTTTGGGGAAAGTGACAGTGCTTTAACTTTGCACCTTTATCAGGGCCCTGGGCAAATGTGCTTGCTTTGAAACATCAGGAGCTATTTATCCTAGGGGCATCTACTGTCTTTGTCTGATTGTATCATATGGTGCTCTGGATTATGTGACTTTAACTGCATGTTGTGGCTTAGCTAGTGCAAGACCCAGAAGAGGAAGCTGGACTCTCTAATACCAAGTGAAATAGCGGGTGGGAAGAATACTGGGCTGAGGATTGCTGTTTCATCCTATGCATGCTGAGAGAAAGTCCTACAATTTCCAGCTTATTTTCTGTCTAAACATGCATGGGGTTGTGCTTTAAAGTGCAATTTCATACCTGTCTAATCAAAAGTAAGATGCGTTGAGTTTAATGGGGCTTGGTATAAGAGAAATGAGTGTATGTTTCCAGCCTTAACTTCAGAATTGCTCGAGCAGTATGGCTGGATCTAGCTATGAATCAGAATAAGGTAGAGACAAGATGGTCCAGTCCTTTAGAGTAGTAAAATGGACTGTGCCACTGCAGAACACAAAGAGGAAACACATTTTTAACTGTGTGAAGGGAAAAAACCTAGTTCCCTGCAGGCAGAGAAAACTAGCATAATGGTAGGAAGAGGGCTGGGCCTGAAAAGTTAGTCTTCACGTGTTACATTGCTGCTTGTAGGGTTTTGTTTTCATAAGACAGAAGATTCCTCCACCTGCAATGTATTCTCATTTATGACTTCAGGGTTTGATTGGTTTATTCTGCTGCATGTGTTGATCTAGCTAGTACTTCTGAGTTGGTGGATTGCAAATATGATAGGGACAGTAAAACACAGAGGAGGAGGCTGTGTAATGTGTGCATAAGAAACAGCTGAATTCCAGAAGATAGTATCTCAAAAGAGAATTGCTAAGAAGCAGGTTGCTGGGCCTTGAAGCAACCTTATCCTTATTTATCCTTAAAATGCAATAACCTAGGGGCAGGTTGGCATGCATACATATTATGGCTATGGGTGCTCTAGAAATGAAGAGATGATGATGATGATGATGATGATGATGATGATGATGAGAGCAGGAGGAGGAGGAAGAGAAGTACCCAATTTCTAAAAAGGGCCAAGTGCACCTAGAAGCTGCATTGTGTCCCTCAGACACTCTTTCCCTTAACCCAGCTACCAACCACATCTGGGATTAATACCCCCTCCCCCAGGGTGCTCATAAGCAGGACACATTTTGTTCCGGGCATTTGGAGGGATCCCAAGGGTACTATCTTTGAACATGGAGCAGACTTATCCAACTCGTGCTTTCCAGATGTGTCCAACTACATGGTTGAGGATGATGAGGTTGTAGTCCAATACATCTGAAAGCAGCCCAGTCAGTGGTGGAAAGCTGTCATGGAGGTTCTGTCCCCAGCAATCATTGCTCAAAGCCATCAACAGACCTACTTTCTATAATGCTTCTGCAAAACTATGTGCAGATGCTACAGCAGCCCCCCCCAGCCCAGCACCCTCCCAGTGCATTGACTGCAACATGCTACAGTTCTCAGTCAGCACGTCACTGGCTGGAAATTACAGGAGTTGCAATCCAGTGCCACTGGGGGCTGGTCTAGAGGTTACTGAAACATCCCACGGCAGCAAGTTTCCCAATCCTTGCCCAGCCACTTACAATGCCTCGGCTGGTTGCTCCCCGCCAGGGGCAGCCTCTCTGTGGGTTTGTCTCTGAATAGCCATACTCAAAGGCTGGGTAGCGTCCAGCATTGTGCAGGTAGCCGGCCTGCTGAGCCTGGAAGATGTCATTGCCAAAGCACCGGGGGCTGTTGTCCATGTAACCGACGGGTTCCGGAGGGCTGTAGCTGGACAGGCGCAGGGTGGCAGACTCATACTGCCCGTAGCCATAGGAGGGGTTGAGCTGCTGGTCATTGTAGTTGGCCAAGGGACAGGCCTCGCTCCCCGGGGATCCCCCTCGCTTGCCCAGCTGGTCCTGCCCATTCACAAAGATGTCATGATAAGCCCTTGAAATGGCACTGATGGCCTCCTCCTCCTGGGCGTTGGGGCTGGGAGGGGCATCTGCCTCAGGACTCAGGCCAACGTCCATGGGGGCCTCATTCAGGCTGTTCATGTAGCTCTGCATCTCGTCCAGCAGGCGCTGTTTCTCCCGCTTAGGAATGCGCCCAAAACGCACAGCTGTGGAAGAGAGAAAGCAGGAGGGAAATGTGAGTGCTGTGGGCAAGGACTCCATGAGATACCCAGTAAATATAGGGCGGCAGTGTTATAATGGGAGAAGCTGCATCAGCCAGAATTCTCCCTGCCAGCATTGCGCTGACCTTGGCAGCAGAAGGGTGAGCTGGGAGAAGACGACAGATGCAGGGCCCTTCAGTCTCGTCTCAAGCCTGACTAAAATATATATTGGTGGGCCAGGCAGGGGTCGGATCAGGCATGCTTCTTTGCGAATGCATACATACAGATATGCAATGCTGTCTTTGGAACTTGACAGAAGGCTGTGCCTTCTGATTTTGGCACAATTCTTCCCTCCCCCCCCACAACACCGCCAAATCAGGGAGAGCCAGATCCAAGCGTGCCTAATCCATGGTACCACTGCAATGCCTAAATAAGCATCTGTCTTTGCAGGCCTCTGGGTACATCTATCATGTACTCAGGAGGGCCTGTGAGCATTAATCAAAGGACACTGCTTGCTCTTTGGCCTCCTCCCACATCCTTCTCTGTTGCTCTGGAAATCCTAGCTCAGAGGCATAAATCAGCACAGGGGCCCATTAATCAACCAAAGATTTGCTGACACGGTACCCTCGTGAGAGAACAGCCGCTGCTGCCAGCCAACTGCTTCTGCAGGAGGCTTCGTACCACGGGATGCACTGCGAGCAGACCATCCCTAAATAGTACTGCAGCCCCCTCCTCTCCCCCAGTTCCGAGAGATGTTAGGGGTTGTACCAAGGCTGCTGTTCCCTTTACACAACAGGTAAGTAAACCAGTCAGTTCCCTACCTAGTTGCCATCCATGCTACTGGTGGTTTTCTCTAGCTTTTATCCAATTTGTCTCATTGCTACTTTTGCACTTATGCTTTCAATTTGCACGCTGCTCAGAGAACTTCAGCTGCTGGGCAGTTTAAACATGCAATAAACAAAGGAACAGAATAAACAAGCTGCTCTGTCTCTGTGCTGTGGGAGAAGTCCAACTCTGTGCCCATCGCTGCGTTTCAGCATGGCTCACTCAGTTCCAATGCATGAAGAAAGCCCCGGGCCTGTCATTAGGAGAGCTTTACAGCCAGCGCTGGGCAGCCACTGCTCCTGAGCCTCCCCTTCCACCTGAAGCAGGATCCCGGCCCTGCCTACACACTCACCATCTCTTGACATGCCCACTGCCAGGCACTTCTTGAAGCGGCAGTGCTGGCAGCGGTTACGGTTCATCCGCATGATCATGCAGTTTTCATTCTTCACACACATTTTATAGTTGATGTTCTGTTGTATGCTCCGGCGAAAGAACCCCTGAGAGGCAGAAGCAGGCAGGGTCTGGGTCAGTGAGCAGAAACCAATACTTACATAGAGACTGAGTGTGCACACTGCCTTTCTATCTGCTTTGAGAGCTCAGAAAATGTTCTGAGTCGTGCAGTGTTTCACATATCTCCTTCTTAAAGCTAGCGAAAGGTATCACACTTGCTTCCATGAAGTAGGAAGCACATTTCATCTGTTTTGAATTCCTGGGAGCTACTTGGATGGTCAGCAGTACAGCAGGTATTATTTTAGTCAACAGAAAATCCATAACTGAAAATCCTTTTGCTTTTCCTAGCTATTTTTCCTTCCCCCATAAATGACCCTGCCCTATTACAGCAATCAATAGGAATAGGGAGAGGAGCAGAAAAAAAAAAATCAAAGCTGATCGCTTTGGCAAAGCACTTTAGAAATAATGCAGTTAACCCACAGTACATACTAGATTCATTACTGTGCAGCTCAGAGAGGGATGCAAAAGAAAAGATTCCATTTTTAAAGGCAGCCTATAAATAATTTTTGACAGGTTTTTATTTGTAAAGCAAAACACTTACAACAGTCACAGCAGTGTGTACTACTGCATACCTGCACTTCTCCTGTACAAGTACAGAATCTGATTACCAGGGGCCAAATTCAGTTCCCTGAAATTCTCAGCTTTGACACCTGAAAACTCATCTCTAGTTCTCATTGCTCCTGATACATATTGTGGGCAGACTAAGAAAGAGAGAGAGAGAGAGAATGAGCTGGGGCAGTAAAAAGGGGGACTCTCCTCACCTTACAGCCTTCACAAGCATGGACGCCATAGTGGAAGCCTGAGGCAATGTCACCACAAACCTTGCAGAGCAGAACCATTCCACCTGTCTCTGTCAAGGGAGAGAGGAATTTATATTAACTGCATACCAGGCCTGGTGTTCTCCACTCCACCCTCATTCCTTCATTCTCCCTTGCCCTTTCAGATGGCTCAAAACAGCCTTCCCCAATCTACTGGCTTGCAGAGCTGGTAGACTACATTAGCCATCAGCTCTGGGTGTTGTACAGCACCTCTCTACCCTCACGCACCATCAGCTCTCCAATGGTTGGAAGCTGTCCAAAGGTTCTGCAAGGGACCAAGACAGGGAAGGCTGGCTTAGAGGTGGTTAGCCCTGCTGAAGCTGAGGTTTCCATCCCAGCATAACTGGCTTGCGAAAAAGGTGGCTTTGATGAAATCAAACCCATCTCTTCTTAGCTTAAGGCTCTACCCTTAAAGGTGGCCTAAAATAATCTTAATTAAAATAAAATCTTTCAAAATGGGAGTAACAACAGGTTCACACACCCACACGTACAGCTGTTGTAATGATACCTTAAATTAAAGGATAACGATGCCACCAACCTTAAGATACAGAGAATTTTAAAGCTTCATTAACTAGGCAGCTTTGTGCCTTCTAGAGCAGTTATTATCTCTTGCTTTTTGCAAGGGTTGAGCAATGGGCATCTTGTGGGTAGATAAACAGGAATGGTCAAAGGAGAAGTAGGAGAAATGGGACATTTCCCTCTGGGGAGAATCATATTTTAGCCTCTCTCTAAGGCAGCCTCCTGCTGCCTGGGCCCCTTCAGCTGTGTTGGACTGCATCTCTCATCACTCTTGGCCACTGTGTGCAACAGCCATGCTGAAGGATGCTGATGGGAGGTGTAGTCCAACACATCCCCAAAGCACCAAGGCTGCTCTAGGAGTTTGCACATGTTTCACTTACATAATATAATGTAAGCAAAACGCTCTGAAATGTTTATAAAAATACTACAAATCCAGATAACAATCTTGTATAGCAGGTCACCCTGATTATCCTGTTATTGCAGAACATGTAGGGGATGCAGAGGTGCATGCGGGTACAGCTTGCTTAAGAACCGCCTAGCGAGTCTGTGTCTGAGGTGAGCTTGGAACCTTTGCCTACAGGCTTGCTCCAGGCCTTGGCTGGCAGAAGCAACTTGTGGCCCACACACTAGTCCAACGTTTCCCCTTGCCTTCACTGTCATGGCCCAAACGGACTTGGCTCCAAATCTGTGTTTAGCAGCTTTGTCTTTTTTCAGTTTGACTGTAGAGCAGGTGTGGGACAGGGGGCTTTTAAGATCTGGCCTGGAGGGCTTGCATTTACTCTAGAGTAAAAATGAAGAGATAATAGAGCTGCTAGACACAGCTGTCAAGTAGCATTTGCTTTGGCCCTTAAAGCTGAAAATAAGGAAAACAGTGTGCATGTGTGCCTTTTGCTCTGCCACTAGCCTTCCTGTGCTTCCATTTCCCCTCATCCTTCCTTCACTGAACAGAGAAGTGGGTAGAGTGGTGAGTCACTTACTAGTGAAGGTGCCGGTGGCTCCATTCTGCTTGGCAGCAGGGACTCTACTCTGCGTCGGGGGTGACTGGCTCTTGCTGGGGTAGCGGATCCCCTCTGGAAACTGGAACGCTACCTTGGGTGAGGAGGGGGAGCTGGCCCGTTGTGGCTTGATGGCCCCAATCTCAGTGAGAGTGAGCTCTTCCAAGGAGGAGGGCAGCGAGTGTTGGGGAGAAGGCACCAGGTATCCCCCAGGAGGGCTATCTGGGGTGGGGCTGGAACCTGCCGTCGAGCCCACATACAGGATCACACCACCTGTGAAAGGAGATGGGATACAATTGCTGTTGTTATTACATTACACTTCTATATTGTCCATGGCTGAAGCTCTCTGGCTCGTTCCCAACATTTCAAGTCACCCATCCAGATTTCAACCAGGCCTGACTCTGCTTAGCTTCCAAGATTAGCCACTTCAGGCTATATGGAGGCTACAGAAGGAAGATAAGCACAGAAGTTGTGCTTGATGTGAGGGATCACAACAGAATTCTAAAAACGCACAAAAAGCAACGTTAGTTGTGTGGATCCTAAGTAAAATTCCTAAAATCCATAAAAGGGCAATACCCTTATTAGGCCAACCAAAAGATCACCAAAAATGTACAAGCTATCAATATCCCCAGATATCTTTTCATAACATCCTGCCTGATGACATGGTGCAGACACTTCCACTGATTTAAAATAAGGCCGCAAGACTGTTAATCAGGACTGGCACACTAGAAGCTATCAGGCCAGTCCTCTTGCAGCTGCACTGGCTGCCAGCTGAACTCCAGGCCAAATTCAAAGTGCTAGCACTAACATTCAAAGCCTTAACAGTTTGGGGCCAGGTTATCTGAAGGATCACCCCCTCCCATACGCACCTACCTGAACCCTGAGGTCATCTTTGGGGGTCCTTATCTGGGAGCCCAATCCAAAGAAAGTGAGGCAGGTGGCTACCATGGCCTTTTTGGGTGTGGTACCCCACTTGTGGAATGAGCTCCCCAAAGAGTTATGCCTAGTGACTACTTTGTATTCTTTTCAGCACCAGATGAAGACCTTTTTATTCTCCCAGAATTTTAGCAGGTTAACTTCATTTTTTAATATTGCATTTTATTCTGTACCACCACTATGCTTCTAAGCTGATTCAACCGTAGTTGCTATTGTGGGTATGTTGTTTGAGTGTGCACTTTAACTTTTTAAAACTTTTGTAAACCACCCAGAGAGCTTCAGCTATTGGGCAGTATAAATTTTTTTAAAAAACTGAGGAGATTTGACAAGTTCACAAGTTTGTATTCCTTGGGGGTGACCTTTTGTCTAAGCTCATATAGGTATTGCACTAACATGGCTTCTGAAGGCTGCCGTGCCTGGGTCATTCTGAACCTGAATGGTCAGCAGCCCCAGTCAGATTCCTACAAGCAGTAGTCCAAGGCTAGCTAGTCCAAACCTGCTCTGCTCTGCTTCCCAGATCCTGAAGATCAATACATTCCAGTGCAGGCAGGCCAAAACAAGACATTCATCAAGCTTAAGCAGGCTGCCTTAGGCTTGATGGGTCACAAGGTGTGCAGGCCTGCAGTAGGTCATCTCAAGGAAATGTTATGGCATGCAATTCCTCATCTCCCAGTATGGGAAACCCAAGATCCTCTATATAGCTGAAGTAGGGTGGGGTTCAAAGCATCCTTCCACAGCCCAGCAGCCTACAAATGGTTCCTTTTCCTGACTGGGCACAGCATGTTGTTATTCTTGTTGCGTGAAGAAGGGCAGGATCCATGCAGCTCCAGACTGCCAAGGCCTGGAGGTGAGCAAGCTGTGTGCATGTGTGTGTGGGGAGAAGCAGCTTCCCTTGCCTCAAATAACCTGCCCAAGTCAAAAGTATAATTGGTTCAAACAGGCACATGTTGCTGAAGGCTTTTGTCAGACACCTGCACTTGTACAAACAAAAGTCTATTGCTGCCTCTTGCCTAGGCAGGTAGGCAGCGGGTTGGCTGCCACTGCCTCTTGGCAAGTCAACAGATCCCATCCACTTTTCAGTGCGTGCCCACCACCACCACCACTCCACTCCAGAGAAATACTACAACCGGTCATATTGGGCACTGCTAATAAAGGAAAACAAGAGAATGGGAGGCGGGAAAAAGAATAGTTATGTCCCCCTGTCTGCTTTAAAATGCCTCATGGGTCTGGAAAGGCTGAAGGAGGTTAATCCTGTCGAAGCATTGTACTGCAAACCTGCACAGCCTTTCCCTGAAAATATCTGAGGGGGTGATACTCCCTGAGCTGCATGTTTCTCTGCTGGAGGGTAGATTCCCTCCCACCCTGAAAGCAGTGGATAAAAACTCCTGCTGATCATGATAACACAGCCAGCATGTCTCCTGCCTCTGCCCACCTTGCCCCCTTGGATCAATAGAACAAACAATCACTCTCCCTTTACCGGACAGCTTTTGTGTAATTTGCCTGACCTGTCAAAATCTGTATTGTGAGGTCAGAGGAGGAAGGAATGGGGAAGCTGGCCTTGAGGGGAGCTACTGCCACTGAAAACAGCCATTTGAACCCGCTACACCCTTCCCTCCGGTGTCCTTTTTTCCATGGCATTGATCGGCAGAACAGCTGGCAGCCAGGTCTGAAGGTGCAAAGCCAATGACCGACCATGCAACCTCCATGTGGCTCCAGGACAAAGCCAGGGAGACAGCAGGGAATGTGGCCCAAGAGGCACGTGCTGCAGAAAAAGTAGGGCAACCGGATGGCACATACTGTTTCCACAGGCAGGCACAAAACCCAAGTGGCCCATCTGAAAGCTGTTGCAGGAGGCAGGCATAGTGGTGCCAAGACCCGAGAAGAGGCCACTGCAAATGGAAAACCCAAGATCATTTCAGCTTGGGGATTCTCAAGACGGCCTCCCTGAAAGTACCTTTATAAAAGTGCCACTGGCATCCTTCCACATTCTTAAAACATTGGGTTTCAATCCTGTTGCAGGCCATGAACCTGGAACCAGAGGAATATAAGAACATGGCTAATCTGTGAACCTGGGTCTGGCTAAAGGGAAGGGATGAGGACCAAAGAAGGAAGCTCCTCAACAAAAACAGGCCAGGTCAGATTGGGTGATAAAAGCTTCTGGCTCATGCAAGTCCAATTCCACTGCGGCTGCTCCTAGTGCTGGTGCAATGGAAGCCACCCAGACAGTCAGCCCATCTGTTTCACTAGCGTCTGCCCTGGCTGGGGTCAATTCTCCAGAATATCAGGCAAAGGCCCAGCCCATTGCATTCTACCTGATTTTCTTTTAAGTGGAGAAAGCAGGGATGGAGCTTGGGTTCTGCTACATGCAGAACAGGCACTCAACCACTGAGCTCTATTTGCTCCCTAAGAGGTTACCAGCCCTTTATCCTAGACCTAATTGCGCCCCCCTGAGTTGTAGGCTGCCACTTTCCTTTTCTTTGCTACCCGACATTTTCTCTCCCCCCCCCCACAAAGGACAGGGATGCACTCAGCTGTGTGAGGACTTTGTAAAGTGGACCACACAGAAGTTTGGCAGGAGGTACATTCCCCCATCCCCACTCTGCCTTGTTTGCCTGAATGCACACACCACGTACACTTCTGCTTGTGACCTACATCAGGAGCAGAGCTGTACTATCCAAGCAAACATGCTTGACACTCTTGCTCTGCCTGTCTTTTAGCGACAGAATGAGTTTGATTTGCCGCAAGGACCCATCATCATCACTCAGGTTTGTCCTGCAAAAACCCTGGCTTCAAAGTTGCATGTCCAAAATAAACAGCCTCTCTTTTATGTTTCCATGGGCACTGTGCAGCTTATAAGGACAACAGCTGCTTTTCCCAGCTGCAAACACTGCCAACTTTAAAACCAATTTTGGCACTGGGAAAGGGGTTTGTTTGCAGCAAGAACACACTCAAAGCTCTTTGATCACTGGGCCATCCTGCTTCAGGGACATCCTGGGAATTCTTGCATGTGTTCTTTTGTTGAGTGGTCTTTGCTCATGAGGGCCTGTTTACGCTGGGGGCTTCTCCAGGTGCAGAAAATAACAGTCCAAACCTCCCAAAACAACTGAGTGCCAAAATATTCCACTGGAGAGATGGGTGTTCTACACCCTTATCAGAGTCAATCCTGCCAGCTTCAGATGAAATAGTTCAGCTGCAAAGTATTTCCTTGGCATGCAAGATTTTCCAGGTGTGATCCCTGACAATGTCCATTTAAAGGGGAGCAAGGCAAGGAAAGAGTTGTTTATGAGCCGCATACCACCTTTTATCATTCCTTTTGAGTACCTGCAGAGGCTCCCAAGCTTTTCTGGGAGGAGAGGAAAGTGGGATCACCCTTTTGATCAGCAGCACTGAAAGCAACCAAAACCAAAAAACAAATCCCACCCTGTTGGCACTTCCACTCAATCAAGATACATTGAGTAAGATCAGCTCAAGTATCTTCCACTGGCTCTTGGCTGCCTCGGTTGCTTAAGAGCAACTGCCGCTAGAGGGAGTGGAAACCATAAGGAGCAACCAGAGCTTCTGTCAGCTGCCATGCTCTGGGCAGCATAAATAGCCTGAAAACTGAAAGTGCGTAGCCTCAATATGGCTCTGCCTGGCACTAGCAAGTCCCCCAAAAAGAAAGGCAGGAAAAAGCAGCTGGATGAGAAATCTCAATTAACAGCCTATAAAAACACCTTGCAGATACCTTTAGCATGAATTATACTTAACAGAAAGATAAAAGGAAAAGAAAGCTCAGACTGGGTGAAATCCAGTTATAGTTGAACACCTTTTTCATTTATTCCAATGAGAAAATTAAGGATATGCATGCTGAATTAAAAGGCAGTTAAGGGTGTTTGACTACCTTATAGATTACACTGGGAAGAAGGTAATAAAATTATATTATGATATAAGAAAAACAAGCAATACAATAAAATTAGTCCCCAAATATGATGAGGAAAAGACCTTGGGGGAAAAGAATGCACACAAATCAACACTGTACTTGCAGAAATATACCATTTGTCAGGGCTGTACCAAAACAACAAAAATAGGACAGAAAAGAGGAGCTTGGTCCTTGCACACTAGTTTTCTACTTACAGGGCAAAGAGCTCCTCTCATCTCTAAACATAAATGGATCAGCGCAGTCCACAATACTCTGTTTTACATTACATTTATATCCCACCTTTGTACCTCTCTTGCAAGGAACCCAAAGCAGGTTACATAGCCCCATTTTATTCGCAGAACAACTCTGCAAAATAGGTAGGACTGAGAGTTTGCGACTCACTCAAAGTCACCCATTGAGCTTCATGGTTGAGTGGGGACTAGAACCAGGGTCCCCCGGATCCCCAGTCTAACGCTCTAACTGCTATACTGCACAGGCACTATCATGCCTTGCTCATCTCACACCTCTGTTGCCTCATTCTGCTGTGAGACTCTTATGCACGCTTATCCAGCAGTCTGTCCCACGGATCTCTACTCTGAAGTAGACATGCAATAGGAATGCACTGCCAGTCTCTTCCCTGACTTGCTCTGGAATATACTCATCAGTTTGCCATGAAATGGAAGAGAACCAAGTGTTTCCAAACAAAGGGCTCCCAGCACCACCAGTGAAAAAGCATTTCAGTTTTTCTTCCTTTTATATATATTTTTCATGGAGGTGAAGGAACAGAAGCAGCTGTGGAAAGAGTTACACGAAGAAAACAAAAGTCACCTGGACCACCCATAAAATTCCACAAACAAGGTGAGGAAGGCAATTGCACAATAAAAGCCCCATCTGGAAGCACACCAAGTCACAAGGATGTTATTATTCTGGGTCTACCTGTTGCATTTTGCTGGGAGGATTTATTCATAACTGTCACTCTCATTTTCCAAACCTTATCCAGCTGGTGGTATTTGACAGGATGATGTGTGTGCCTCTGAGCTGCTTCACTTCCCTCACCCAACCCCTGGCATTTTTCCTCACACCAACCCTGAGAGCTACACTGGGCTGAAAGACA